CCCCCCCCCCCCCTCTGTCTCTCTTCCTCTCTCCCTCTTCCTCTGTCTCTCTCTCTCTCACCCCCTCTCCCCCCCAGGCTCTATGGGAACAGGTGGTCGTGCGTGTGACCGGTCGTCGGTGTCCGTGGACGGCTGTGAGGTGATGTGCTGCGGTCGAGGCTACGACACGTCGAGGATCAGCCGGACCACAAAGTGCGAGTGCAAGTTCCAGTGGTGCTGCTCGGTGCGCTGCAGCGACTGTCACCAGCAGGTGGACGTGCACACCTGTAAAGACCAGACGTGACCCGACACCTCGGAGCGCTGCAGTTCATGTCTGTGATAAGAGTTTAAAAGATATATCAGGATGTCAAACAAATAAAACAGGTTAAACATAAAGAAGCTAAGAAGTGAACCACGACATCACCGGAGACGGAACACTGTTCCTCTTCATTCACAGCTCAGATCTGAACCATCCGTTGTTCTTACGTCACTGTATTTATTTACTCACCAGTGTCTTTGTTTTGTGTAAATATGTGGTTGTGTAAATTAAAATCAGATGTCTAGAGAATGAAACATTATCTGTAACCGATAGGAACGCTTTAACCAGCTCGCTGCACTTCCTCCTGCCGTGAGAGCCAATCACAGGACTCGTATCCACTGGCTGAGATTAAGGAACGTGGACACTTTGTTGTTAAGACCTCTTTAAAAAAAGGACGATTGTGTTCTCTAGTTTTCACTCTTTACCTACAAATCATGTTCACGTCGCTGCAACCATCACTTTTAAAAGTTTTAGATTAATGCAGTTTAAGATCAGATTGAAAACCTTTGATAAAAAATGTTTTTCTGTTTTTCATGTCGTACAGAAATGGAGGTGCAAACAAAAGAAGCTGGTTTTAGAAAGTGATGAACAGTTCACTTGTTTCGTCTTAAACGGGGTTAAAAATGTGAAACCTCCGGCTCTTAAAAATATATTTCCCGTCTCAAACCCCTGGTGGACGCAGATCAAACTCTTGTACCTGTGGACTGAGATGTTAGTTTGTGGAGGAACATTTAAAACCTACCAGGCGTGTTGAGATGTCGTCGTCTGTACTCGGGCTTCTCTCCGGGTCGAGGCCGTCAAACTGCCGTTAAAACGGCGCGAAGCAAAGAAACGTCGGGAGGAAGTCGGCTTGCAGCGATACACAAAAAGTCCTTTATTGTATTTTTTTGTCTTTTCACTTTTTTAATGATGGCAATCGATCACTTCCTTTTTTTTTTTTTTTTTTGTACAACAAAAGAACAGCTTTAAATGATTGAAAACCCCCAAAAATGCAAACATATCAAATAAAGTCAAAACCACATCTGGATTCCAGTGTTTTGCCTTTTTCTGTCTCCCGTCTCTCCTCGTCTGTCCCTCGGTTTGGTTTTGAACTCGCTGATCTCGGCACAAAGGTGCGTCAGTCCGGTCCAACGCAGCGCTCCGGGTTTCAGTTCGGCTGTTTCTGTCCGGAAGGAGGTCCTGGTCCTGGGTCTGATTCGGGTCGGGTCTGGGTCAGATGCGGGTGAGTTGGTGCCAGAGGCTGGACGGCAGGATGCTCTCCACCTTCTCCATGATGAAGTTGAGCGGAGCGAACAGCGTGCTGAGGAACTACGAGGGAGACGAAGAACTGTTATAAACGCAGGAAGACGTGGAACAGACGACACAGAAGAACTAGAACTATTTAAATCTGACTTCATCTTTAATTAAAGGGAAACCTTAAAACCAAAGAATGTTTTCTTTTTAAATATTTTGCATCGACAAATAAGTTAAAAGCACCAAAGCTCATTCTCCACTTCAGGAAAAACTAGTTTTCACATAATAATCCCAACTCATGGTCCACTCAAGAGCTTTTAAAGGAACTTTAAAACAGAACATTTGGTCTTCATCCGCTGAAAAGAAGACCATGTGATACAGTTGAAAGGCCAGTAAATGGACCTCGGAAGAAGATTGTTTAGTAAAAACCACTTTGATAAATCCTGAAAGCAAAGTGTTAACGGATCAAACTCCCGGTGCTGATGAAGACGGTGTGATACGAGATTTAGTTAGGGAGCAGCAGGCCTGTGTGTGTGTGTGTGTGTGTGTGTTCCAGCTCTCAGGAGGTCCTGTAGATGTATCTGCTGATAGTGTCACTTCAGTGGGGGAGAGATGAGCTCACTCACATTCCAGGTGAGCAGCACAGCGCTGCTGGGAGGAGGAGGAGGAGGAGGAGGAGGAGTTTTAACCTCAGGTGGTGCAGAAAGTAACAATCTAGCAGCTTCTGAACTGAAACAAGAGTCCACCAGAGTCCCTTTAGAAAACCTCTCATTTTACTGCAGCAGGGTCTGACTGTCTCAGTCCTCCCAGAGAGGAGAAGCTCTGCTCCTGGAGGAGGAGACGCTGCTGCTGCTGCTGACGGGAGCTGAGCTCTCCTCCTCCCTCCAGAGCTCCGGATGTGGGTCTGTCCACGGTGGGCCTGTCCACGGTGGACCTGTCTCTGCTGGAGGATCTGGGCCTGTCCACGGTGGACCGGTCTCTGCTGGAGTCTGAGCTGAAGAGGTTTCTTGATAGAGGACCAGGACTACACTGAGACTGGTTCAGTCTCACCGTAAAACTTTCCAAACAAGGGAGAACAAGTGAATTTGTGTGTGTGTGTGTGTGTGTGTGTGTGAGAGAGAGAGACTCACAGCTTTAGCAAACACTCCCATGAGCTCGGGGAACTGGTGTGTGAGCAGAGCCAGCATGGCGGTGAAGGAGCAGAGGCCGGCTGTGAAGAGGATGAAGAAGGGCAGCTCCTTCTTCGGGTAGACCGACACCTCGTGAAACACTGCTTCCACGTGGGACGAACACACACACACACACACACACACACACACACACACACACACACACA